TGCGCATCAGAGATTCAACAAGCCTCAGTTGTGCTTCTTCGAACTGCTTCTGTTGTTGCTGTAAAATTAATTGGAGTTGCTCTGCCGAAATTGACATCGTGGGTTCGGGTTGTCGCCAGTTGTTGTTCTCCCTGTGATGTACCTGCTATAGGCAACATCACCGCTGAGCTGTGATGAAAACTTATATGAGCATAATATCGTAGGTTTTGTCTAGGGTCTTTTAACTTTTTGTAAATGCAAAAGCGGGAGACTCGAATGAATCCCAGTTCGACCTATCGATTTTGATATTCTTCAAGCGAATGTGCTGCATAAAGACCGTCCCATGTATTAGGTGGTACGATATTCGGTATATCTTAGTGTTTTCTTGACTGAACACGCCACTCATAAGTTTGTCGAAGAGTTTTCAGCAAACTACTCACAGTAGTTTGTCTCGTCAAGAAACCTTAAAATGTTCTTTCCTAAGGTGCTTCCTGGATTGGTTGCTGTTATTAAGCCATTCCTCGATACCGAAGTATACATGCAATCGTACCCCCCCCCCCAGTTTTAGTGGTTGTAGTTTACAGGACAGGATCTCATAAGTTTACGGTGGTGCGCGTTGGTTTTTCCCTTGTTTGGTGTGTCACTTTGAAGCATATTAAGTTTTCTGTAGGGTCAGATAAACGCACCTGTTGTCTTGCGCCGCCAAACTGCAGTAAGTTGGTTGACATTGTTCAACACATCCAGAATGATAATGCGATCACGGAGCAACATGACCTTATTACCACACGATAACGCAATATAATAAAAAGTTCTACACATTTGATTTGATTTGCAATTTCATTGCGAACGTTCCAGCACCAATCGAGGTAACATCACCAGTGCGTTGTTAGCGAGCGTAGTGGTGCATACCGCTGGGTTCGCGGTAAAGCGTTTGCAATCAAATTGCAGTAACCAGTAACCATCTATGCTACCTGAGCTACCAACATTTTCCTCTATAGAGAGCGATCATCATCAGCACTAATATCGGCAAGAAAGCATTAGGTGTGAGTCGGCTTCTGAGCAGATGTCTGAGCCAAACAAACAAGCTAGATTCGCACCGGCGACTGAGGACGCCAAATGTCCCTCCAATGACCTCGACAGAATTTACCATGTTTGGTCGTTGTTACCTGGAGGATTTCTGTTTATGATCAACGCCTTCTTCTAATGTCGCTCCGATAACTTACACTGTCGTGAAAACGAAAGAAAATCCGGCAATCAGCATTACGGCCACTTTTGATTCATTGTCTAGCTACTTAAGTAGCTTATAGTGATTCGTGCGATATTTGGATCTCAGGGACTGTCGCTCTTATCCCGCTCCTCCGTACGCGAGGGATTCTGGTTTTCACGGCGTCCTTGGACACATTTTAAGCGCATTTCACGGAGTTTTCGTGAATTTTGGAAACTAACCTGTTTACCCTGGATTGATTACAATGCAGCCTGGGTCCATCGTCACCATCATCATCACCGTCATAATCATCGACAAATAGTTATGAGGACACTAGTGCTTCACAACCATTCAGAAATTCGCCTGTCGCGAATTACTGGCTATTCTAGTCGTACAATGCGCTTGCACACAGCTCGTAATACATAAAAGTGAAAGACACTAGACGTTGAGTGCTGTAATGTCAGTTTACTTATGGCGGTTTTGCCTACGTTCGAAGGACAATAAGTCAACTATTCCTAAGGAGAAAGAATGAAGTTCTGTGATGCCAGTTCCTTACGAAAGTTTCATCGGGATATTTAAAAAACGACATAAAGAATTCCACAAAAGCACCACCAGGGAAGCAAACAGCCTACTGAGCCACGTCAGCGAACAAGTGAAGTTGAAGTGGATATGCTAACTACAAAATGTAATCAGCTTGGAGTTTCTTAAAGACATCAACGAATGCCACCATTCCTTGAGGGAAATTATCGAGGTGCTCAATTTTCCCGGAGGCACGTTCGGTAGGGGCTTGCTGGTCGACTTGTGTAAGCTCAAGGTGACATGAAAAATGGATGGTCGGTAGAAGTCTGTGAATATCGTATAACATTTAGACGCTGTTAGTGTAAATTACCTTCCCGACGCGCCTGGTGTTTGGCCACAAACATATCAGCGTCTAGTTGTGAACTTGTTTCCAGTGTTTTTCCGATTTTCCTTCGTGACATATGATGATGGCCCAGACACCTCGAACTATTACTAGTGGATCTTCCTTGAGGTTTTCCTCATTCCTGTTTTCATCTCTGTTTTCGCCTTGTGACAGAATCTTTTTTATCCGGCACTCTCGCTGTTATCAAGGCTACTGCGAAAGCAATTACTAAAGCAAGCGCATAGTACATGCTTAATAAGCCAGTTGCGCTGACATAGGGAAAAATTGTGGACCGACAACTGGGTGAGTGCTCTCCACTTTATCTTTTCCACAGAACAGCTAACTGACTCCAGCGATTACACCTGCAAACATCTATTGTTTTTTATTTGAAGCACTCGCTGGTGTTGTTTCATTGCCTTCTTGTTATTGACGCTGTTTTCAGACGTTACGATTTCCGCATCCCCAACTCCGGTGGAGTACCTGCCTTTCACGTCCTCATAACAAGCCATGAGTTGGCTTGTATCGAACGATCGTGCTTGCAAGGCTTTGATTGGAGCGTTCTGGTTGTGGACGAGGCGCACCGTTTAAAGAACAAACAATCTCGCGTGAGTAGATAATACTGTCAAAACAGGAGCTTTCTTTCCGATAAATACGCTTATTCTCACACAAATTCGGTTTCGACAGGAGACTCAGCTGAATCCAGCTGACTCTCGTTTATGATGTTTGAAGAGTTTTCAGCGGCCCATGGGTAGTATGTTACGATGCACCATATAGCTGAGAATATATGTGTGGTTATAGGTTATTCACTAATTTTTCTTACCGGACCGATATTTGGTTTTCACTTTTTTCTCGTCAGCTCTTCAAAGAAGCTAGCCAATATAAGGCGGGCTTCAAGATGTTACTGACGGGTACTCCGTTGCAGAATAATCTTGAGGAACTTTTTCACCTCCTGTACTTCATCGAGCCGAAGACCGTCACGTGAGTAACTGCTTCCTGTTTTCCTATCGCATGTAATCGACTACCGATTTGTTAACTTTCTGCGTTGGGGCAGAGCGTATTTTCAATCGAGCCAGCTGGTCATCATCAAAACAGCCACAATTTAGCGACAAAAAGTTATGTGCCTTTTCTGCAATTGGGCAGTCGTACAATTGATTGTTTGATTCCTTCACCATCTTGAAAATTAGTCGTCAAAAACATATTGCGAACTGGTTGCTCCGGTTTTTCGAACCTGGAACACTGTCCTGCAAGAGGGTGAGACAAACCCGGGGACTGCGCCTACCTGATGAGCCCCAAGAAGGGGAAACCGGTCATAGATTTTCAGTAACCTTATGAGTAGTACATTACAAATATACATGTATCGCGATATTTCAAATATCGTAGCGACTGAAACATGAGGCGGCCCGGTGCAGCACATTCAGTTGCCTGAGAACATCATAAACGAGAGATTCAGCTGGGTTCCAGGTGAGTCTCTCGAAAGAACCAAATTAGTTTGCAGATGAGTGTATATTCACTAAGGGTGAGACAAAGTTTACGTGAAATGAACGAATGTATTATCCATCTACCCCCAGAGGTTGTTTTGTTCTGTCGTACTACGTAGTCAACGCTGGCCAATATTTGCATTTTAGAAGTCAAGGTATTAAAGCAACAGGTTGCGTCGTCCCAGAAAATGATATGAACCCCGCAAAATGGGAATGATGGTTGATATTCAGGGGCACAAAGTGATAATCGTCCAGTAAAATACAATCAGGTTTGAAATGCTTCTTCTCACGACTGAGCAGTTCATCCCCGAGTCTAAGGTCCCTGCAGCTGTCCTGTCCATATGACATTGTTCAATTCCCTGCTATTTTCGTGCCTAATTTTAGTGTTTTATGGACTCGTGTTTCGACTTCCCAGCCTTCATCACCCCCAAAACATGGCATAATTGGATCATCTTTGGTCCATCGGTGACAAACGGTAAAAATAAAGCGGATTACAAAACTAGCTTGTGTTTTGGGTGGTTCCGTGTTCTGCGAAGTTACATGTGTAGGGCCAGACAGAATAGATACTAAGGCCCACAGAATTACAGTAAGCGTTCAAAGGTACCACGAGTAACACTGCTAGGATTCGATAACTAATGCATTCTGTACGTTCTTGGATGAGTAAACTAAGGGACCATGATGACAGCAACGTTCGGAGTAATTCCACGGTTAGGACCCAAATAAACTCTTAATTATGACGTAGTGCAGAGGTCCAGACTGGAGTCTTCGACTGTGGTCGTAGATTCGATTCTGCTCCTGATACCTTAGCGATTCGCTTCTAAGGTGTGCTTCTAAGCACAACCACCAACCCACCGCTACGCACTACTAAGCTCCACAATAACGCACTTATGATGTCACCTCGATTGGTGATGAAACGTTTGCAATCAAATTGCCCAGCTCAGCGAACAAACCAATGACCACCATCTACGCTACCTGAGCTACCGACATTTTCCTCTATAGAAAGGCATTGTTGTTTTCATTCTCTATCCAAGTTGTCTGGTCGAGTTTCTGGAGGCATAGACTCCTCGGAGTGATTGTGCTAGACTGGCAGTAAGTCCCTTCCCCACCTGGGGGGCGAGGTGGCTCATTGGTTAGAGCGCGAATTTACTAACCGGTAGGTCCGTGGTTCGAACCCGACCGCTGCATCTCGACTTCCCCTGTCTAGGCTTCATCAACCTGGCAGTATCCAAGCCCTTGTTCTTCCTTCGAGTGATATGACAGCTGGGGACCGAAAGGGTGTTACAACCGAACAATTATTATTATTTTTATCTCTTTCTCGTCCAATTTCATTCTTCACAATGAGGCTTTAAAATAAGCCGTTGTTCTACGACAGCGAAGCATCATTGTTGAAGACTGATGTTATGCTTTCCATTTAAGATGATGGTGATGATTTGGTGGAAAGACAGTTCTATACGCGTAGAATGCAAATCAACCCGTTCACTGCACCACAGAGGCTTTCCTGACTTTTGCTTGGAATTTGGTGTCCCATTATCTTAACAGTCACCTAGATCTGTTGTCATCGTCCAACTTTGCTGTTTCGTTTCACATATGCTGCCCGAAATCGTCTTGCCTTTTGAATAAGCCATATCATCTTATGACTATTCGTAATACCCTTTCCAGCACTCCTGTAATATCTGATCGAAGCTAAACCTTTTTTTTAGCTCTCTTCACCTTCGAACTACAGCTTTTCTATCCATTTTCTGGTCAGCGCTTTGCCACACAATTCGCCTTAGCTCTCAGTAGTTTTCACCGAGAAGCTGTGCGATCTCTTGTCCCCCTGCGTTCTGTACCCAGGTGCAGACCAATGTTTCGCGACAAGTCATGTCATGTCATCTGCCAACTGTTTGGGTGTTCAACCAGGATCGATGAAACAATATGATAATTCGTGTAATTCGTGCTAATTATCGACGATAAATGTTCTCTTTGTCAATCTCGTCGCGGGAACTGTGACCTGGTTATGTGACAAGGACAACAAAGACGTACGGAGGTGTTGTTTTGCCAGCGAAACAAAGGACGTAGACTAATCAACGCAAAACACTGATTGTTGCTTAGATTTATGGCATTCATTGTCATGAATTACTTGGGCGTTTCTTGTTGATGAGAAGCGCTGTTTCAGCTCCACGGATCCGGCCAAGTTCCATCGTGTAAAGATGTGTTATCACTGGACGCAGTCGGTAACAGAATATTGAAATCGGCTTAGCAATCCATTTCGAGTGACGTATAGTTATATTATTGTTTTTAGATATTAACCTAGAATCATTGGGCTATGACGTCCCAATTTAGGTGTCACATGACATTCGACGCAATTCAGGTGACGTTTTACGGAAGGTGCTCGCCTTCGTACTAGGGCAATGTCACGTGACAATCAGCGGGTTTCAATTGATCAATCGACTTTTCGCTTCCCCTTTTCAGACCGGGATGTAAATTTTTAATTGAAATCCATATGGTGGCTTTGATCCGCTGGTTCCTTATTGTTTATGACTGAACCATGTGCTAGTTTTTCTATGAGGTCGATGGAAACTGAAAAGCTCATGACCGGTTTCGTCATTCCTGATTTTCGTTTTCGTGGGCCTGCTTTCTTCACAAGTAGCCGTAAATAAAACATCTGAACATGGCTTCCGAAACGCGTTGCCTCGTTCGTTAGACTACGGCTGTAATGTAGCTCCTGCTTCGACACTTGCGATCAGTTTGAGTGCATTTAATTAACTAAGCACCTGCACTGCCTTCCATGACTGTGCACTGAAAAGACATTGTCCCATTGCCAAGTCATTTCTTGAGCTGTCGGGGGATATTTCCAGTTTATTTTTGACGGAGTACTTTATATTGAACTGGCAAAATTATAGCATAGCTGGTATTTCTCCACCATCTCTAATTCCTATACTGCGACTTGGGTATGGTTGTCCACTTTCTGGTTTTTTAACTGTAATAGGTACCTAAAAGTTCACATCTTTCGTAAGAAACAGGTTAGTGACATGATTAGTCTCCGACCAATCTTTTTGGGCTTAGTGCATCCTTTTATCATGGGACTTGAGTTTCAAGAAGAAAAAGACAAAATCTTACGTCTCAGTCGCTTCTGTCATCATTGTTTCTCTACATTTTGCTAATTTCCGCCTTCTAGTCTCGCTAACCGCGAGGGACAAATTCCGAATGTGAACTTCACAAAATGGCAGATTACTGATGGGCCGTAGCACAAGCACGTGATCGGAATTCCATCGATCAGGTGCCCTAAATCGATGCCTTTGTACATATGTTGCTGGCTTATGAAATTCACCAAGCAAGGCTTCGGCAGCAAGTAACATTTTGATTTGTTATGTAACCGCCCCTAAAGCGGTCCGCGTCAGATGGCTGAAGTGGTTGGAGCGCGTACCTACGGACCGTAAGGTCCGTGGTTCGAACTCGCCTTTGCCTCTCGACTTCCCCTGTCTAGGCTTGGGCAACCTGGCAGTATCCAAGCCCTCATGCTTCCTTCGGGCGGCATGACAGTTAGGCACCGAAAAGGTGCTACAGCTGAACGGTTCGCGTGAACCCATTTGTGTTTTTGATCGGTTTGGTAAACGGTTCGAGATTAGTTAATATCTGCGCCACTGAATAACCAGTTAACTACTTTTCACAGAAGATGGAGTTTATACAGTTGTAGTTATCAGGGTTAATAATTATCGGGTCTTCCTTCAGATTGTGTGAGAAGTTAACTGACTACTCATTCCATTGATTCAGGCACATGTGAGTTCGGCCACTTGAAAGTCAGGTGACTGAGTCCGCATCACGACGAAATATCCAGTAGATTGCTGTTCCAGGGATGAACTTCTTTGTTCCATGAAAAACACAATTTTTCCCTCTTATGCTCTCTTCAGAGACTTCAAAACACTGTCAGAACAATGGGCGAACATGTCAAAAGAGCAACGGATTGCGAGTCTGCACGATCAACTAAAAAACCATCTCTTGCGTCGACTGAAATCTGACGTGATCAAAGACCTCCCCAAGAAGTCGGAAGTTGTGGTGATGGTCGACATGTCTGTATTACAAAGGTTGGTTTTATATGTTTCGACATTTCAGCTCCTTATTTAGTCGTTTTGTGCATGACAGTTTAACTTGTCAACCGTCGAACGATGAGTTCATTCTAGGCCTCGGTTGCACATCTGCTGTTTGGAGACTGTGATCGCGAGAACCCGCTCCCGCTGAAGATAATGATTTATCCCCGTTGGACGACTAGTTTCATAACTTCATCGACTCATGGCATGTGAGACTTCAAGACAAAACAGGTGTTTCTCGCTGCATCTTATTTACTCACCTTCAATTCTCAGCTGAAAAGCCCCAGATTTTGGTTGCACGCAGCAGACACGTTGGTGATTTGCCATAACATTTGCTGTGTTAATATCTATTAATCTATTATTAATCGTTTTCGACCAACATACTGCATTCTATCTATCAATGTTCATCAAATTACTCGACTGAAGTCGGGTGTAATGGTGCGTTGTAGCTTTCGTTGTATATGACAGTTGAACTGCAACTGTTGACGAAACGGACAACTGCAGCCGAGCAGAGTATGGTCGCATAACTCTTATCGATTGAAAGGTCGGACATGACACAAATCCCAATTGAAAATCTCTGTGCAAAGACCATGGTCAAACTTTAGCGATACATGCGTGTGTACGACTTCAACTGTTTTGAGGAGTGCCTCGCTTTGTCATACAACCTCCAACCTTTGCTATTTTTCCATCGTGCCTAACCTTAAACTCTTACACAATAAGTAATAAAGGTCATCGATTCTAAAGACCGTGTGATGGCAAGATAATTTAGACGAGACCACCGTTCACCTAATAGCTGGTGTAAAATTAACACATACGTTGTTTATGCAGCCCAAATAGACATTGTTCGGAAGATGTGACCCAATTCCTCACGCTCTGAGAATAACCCCAGGCATCACATGAAGAGAGCTCCATTTTAACGCCAAACTGACAAGCATCGCTGTCATGTAGTTGTAAAGGGGTTTAATCCTGAGTTTCAGTGGCGTCGCTATCACTGAATACACGACAGGTACCTCTTCATTTTGGGTTTGGCTTCATCCATAGGCACCCTAAAAACGAAGACCGCCTTCATAATGACCACTAGACCACGAATCAAAATTTTTTTCTTCTCTTTGCGACAAATCTCTTGTAACCTAATTCCCTTTAGGTGTACTTTTAATGTGCACATAGATCAAGACGATTCAAGTGTGTGATTTTTTCTCATTTAACAAAGCTGGTCATTTGGGTATACCCTTCCCTCATCATCGACCTTTGTCACAGACTGCCAGTTTTTTTTTCATAGAACTACGGTTTGTTCGAAAAAATATTCTATAAGTGGGAAATTTAATCCTCTTTTTCAAGTCCTTGTCTATCATCCTTGCGAGCTAACTAGCTCCTATAGTGGTTATATGACAGCTCATGGCAACGAAGTGGTGTATAACAGCGTTAATCGTCATTGCCGTAATGCATCAAAAGGTACCGAAAGTGTCACCGAATTTCAGAATTAGAGAAGACGATACATTTCCTTGTCTGTCAATGCTGTTGCTTTGATATGAATTTGACCCCTTCATATCGTTCTGGTGAATTATGCTCTTCAGATCCCCTGTGCTGCTCGTATTGCTAGTGGCAGCAACACTCATTTTGCTTGAGCCTGAGATAGCTCAGTGGTGAAAGCGCGAACTTACGGAGCGAAACACCCGTGGTTCTAACTCAACTCAAGCATCTCGACTGCTTCTGTCTAGGTTTAGACAAAATGACAGTGTCTAGACCCTCGTGCTTCCCTCGACTGGTATGGAAGCTTTCCACCGAAAGACCGTTACTTCCGAACAATTCTAATATTCAAGATGCTTGTAATAAATCTTTATATCCCATTCACGTTTCTCTGAAAGGCATAGATTTCAGCTTCTTTTCGGTCTGGTGACGCCGTTTTGCTTAGCATCGTATTTCCGAGACAAGTGTGGATAGACATTAATGTGATTTCTCTGATCGACGTCTACCCGGATATCCAAGGAGCCAGAATTGCCTGGAACAACATTGCGTTCCGATTTCCATTTTCTGGTTTGTTGTTCTTAGCGCAGTACAAGCACTCTTGACACACCGTAGGAGCGCTACGCCCTAAGGACGTGACTATAATGACTCAGGTAAACGCAACCAGATTCCTAACGACATTCCAACTGAGCAATGCACTTGTCGACATCATACTTTAACTTCGTTTCCATCGGTTCATTCAGGTGATCATTAGTAATATAATTAATCTGGATTCCCACATCACCCCATCACGCTCCAGATCAGACCCGCGGTCAAGGTGCCAGAGTTTATTTCGATGGGCGTAACGAGGTTGGAAATGTGTGGAAAAAAACCGTATCTCTCCGATATCCATTTCACATAAACTTATATTAATTGATGCGATTCGTTCACTAAAAATACGTGCTCTATTCACATTATCTGCAAGTATGAGGCCGTAAACAGGTGTGGTAATATTGTTTTGTCATGAATGGATCATACCTTACTGTGGAGTGACAGTTTTGCGCCTCCGTGATCCATTGAGCTATCCCGAGGGTAGAACGTGTGACACAGAGTATCTCATACCAGGTGGGTGAATGTTCACAGATCTGACCAGCGCAGTATCCTGCTCTTTTAAGTTGGGGGTTGGAACGTATGTGGCGACTTGTTCTACAAAAATGGTGATGTACTTTCATTTCGCGCCCAACACGGCTGCCTTGCGATCAGGCTTTGGTGGATGGCCTTAATCATCCTCCTGTCCAAATGTGGGCGACTTGGCACTATCCTAGCTCACGTACAACCATGAATTACACATTAAAAATAACCTCATACCACATCGGCCGTCGCACAGTTCCACCAGCCGAGTCGCCGTACTTGCTGCATACAGCAGGGCGCGTAAGCGAAAATAAGCTGCCACTGGTGACTCTCCTTTCACATACTTTTTCTTCCCAATTCACCTACTTTATCAGTAAGTCTCTCCTTGTAGACTCATCCGTTAGGACTGACAACGGTGTTCGTCTTGGATTGGCTTTGGCCGCAACATTTGCACGTCAACCGGCGCCAACAGCCGCAAGCATCTCGAAATCCATCTTCAGGCCTCAACGGCCAGTCTTACTGACCACTTTTAACGTTCGCACTCTGAAACAAGCAAGACCACAAGCTGCTCCTGCTCTCACACTGGACCAACTTGATATTGATATGTTCTTTGCATCAGAAACAATAAAATGCAAACGCAGTGGTTAAGTTAATTACCGCATCACTCTCCACTCGCTTCCGGCTGTGCAATTTTGACAATTTAGAGGCCGCTGCAGCAAGATATGCAAGAGTCGGGATCATCTTAAGTCACCGGACGGAATTATCCTCGCTTGACTGGATACCGATTGATGGTCGCCTCTGTGAGGTTTGCCTGGCGACGTCCTTGAATGAGTTTCATGGGCGGGAATTCGACCGCCGTCTGTCGCGTCTGCTCACGCTGACATCATTGAGGTCAAGTTTTATGACGCCTTAATGTCCTATTTTGGCGAGCTAAAAGCTCGGATATCGTTGTGGTTGCCGGAGATGTGAATGCAGAGGTGGGCAAGTTTAGAGCTTCGAGGACCCAGTTCGGTGGTTGGCATGAGATGGACTCTGTACGTATGGACAATAGCGAACGAGTGCTGCAGTTGTGTGCTGAGCGCAGTTTGTTTCTACACGATTCTAACTTCCGAGATAGCCATAGTCGTATGGCCACACAGTGTTCCCCAACAACATTCCAACCACATCACCATTAGTCACCATCGGCGCTGATCAACAACTGACTACGGTTTATTTTGGAACGTTTATGGATTCTGACCACGCGCTCTTCCGGAGTTGCTTCTCTGTTCGTTTTGCGGGGCAGCATTGAACGGGTACGATGCTTGTGCCATACATTCAGCGCAGTTTTGAAAACATTCAATGTTATCAGAACAAGACTTGCAATCTTGTGGGCTTCGCCGTCAACACTTGTCAGCCGGATCGTTACCTTGTACCTTGCTAAACAAACTGCACAGTAATAGCATTTACCCCTTTGACACAGACGTTGACCAGCTGTGTCGCATAGTGGTTTTGCGTCTGAATATTACCCAAGAGGCTTTGAACATCTTACGGTTTTCCTGTGGTCACTCTATGTATCTGACCAGTGTTATCGTCACTGTTCATCGAACTTTTTGTTTCCCCTCTCCTAGTATCACCCCCGTATTCCTAATTTTGACTGCCTTTTAGAAAGTTGTACAAGCTCATCTTGACAAAGAACTATGAAGAGCTGCGGTGCGGTAGCTTGATGAACAGTTTGGTTCATTTACAGAAGGTGTGTGACCATCCCTACCTACTCCCAGCGGGTGATTCCATATCACCGCGCCTAGACTCAGATCAGCCGAACGCTCGTTACGAACCAAAGGCATTGGTCCATGTTAGCGGAAAGATGGTTGTTCTGATGGAAATGCTTCGTGGATTGCGCGAGGGTGGTCACAGAGTGCTCATCTACTCACGAATGACCACCATGCTGGATATTTTGGAAGAAGCTTTGACAAATGAGGGGTATGTTCCATTGAGTTATCTGCCATGGATGTATCAATCACCATCTCGTTATTCGTTCGTGTTGTTCACTTTCTGTGTTCCTTTTCTACCTATCAAGGATGTTACTGTCATGTTAGGTATGATAAAATATATTCAACAAACAGGATAAGAGTTTCTCATGTGTTCATTTTATTTCCGTGCCACTATGTTTTCAGTCTTTTTTTGTTCACTAAATTAACTGGCCGTGGCGTTTTGAACAGTTCTTTCACAGACCTTGGTTATGAGCATTTGCTCAGGTATTTTCAATCAAGAGGAACCTTATAGCCCCCCGCTCAGAAAACCGAGTACCCTTTCTTCATACCTCGCATTTCTAACCACACTGAGCGTGTGCATTTAACACACGATGTGGTAGATCCTGGGTAGTCATGCGTACAATCACCCCACCTATGGCGTCATAGTCAACATTATTTGGCGCACGGGGTCGCTGATGACACTGTTGCCAGCGCAAGGTGAAACGCAGTGATTTTCAAATACAAATAATTCCCCGAGCGGAGACCACTCATGAGGACTGGTCACAATGGTCCTGTTCAATTGGGTTCTCTTTCAGAGAAACCGAGCCTATTCTTTCCATGATAAGCGATAGGGAGTATTCAATTTTCAGGAATTACCTCTTGTGCTTTTGTATTTTATATTTTGATATCCCTATGTGGTCCCCATTGGGAAGTAATTCCCTACATTGGCAATAAACGGGATACTTCTAGGAACCTAAGTGCCCAATTTGCGCGCGGAACCTCATCACTAGAAACGGATGCTCCACAACCTTTCTCTTGGTCCTAAAGTCAGTCCACTTCTACCTGTTATCTAGTGTTTTTAAACCTTCCATCGTCTAAAGAACATTAGTGACATTAGGAAACATCACAAACGAGAGATTCAACTGGGTTCCAGGGGAGTCTCTCTTAAAAGCAAATTAGTTTGCAAATGAGTGTATTTCGTTAACATTAGTGACGATTATGACGATAATCTAAATTCCTTGGTAAGCCAAAACTGGCGTGTTGACCGTGTTGGACGGTTAAATTGCACTTCTTCGATATGTATGCCGATGAAACACACAATTGGTGTCCGACACGGGATGAAAACAATGTTTTTTGCAGGTTTGGTTTATCAAAATAATCTATTTGTATTTTCCTTAAGGACAGCCTACTTATTAACCGGTCTGAAACTAGAGTTAGTAGTTTATAGGGGAGCATCAAGCTGGATTTACCCGAAATCTACTTTTACAAGAACACCAAATTCCGTGAAAGCATAAGGCTTGGAGGAGCATTCCGAGGAAGAATAATTCATTCTTCAGTGTTATTCAGAGGTTCGCGTACTGGACGAATCGGGGAGTCGTATGGGATATTGTGTGTCTTCAGTTCTCTTCGACAGCACCGTGAACCGTATAGTGATTTCTCATTGATAGCCCCACCCCTGACTGCTTTTCGACGGACGCAGATGATCATTTCACTTTTGAGAAATAGAGATATTTCATTTTGTATAATGTGGTTGTCTAGGTGGGTAGCTCAAACACCAACAGCATCGAGTAGTTAGTCTCGTAATTCTTGTAAATGTTCATAGAATTAAACGAAAAAACGGCGAACTACCGTTACCCTCACCATCCTTCACATATTTGGTTTTTGGCATTGCGCTCAATTCATGGGGTCACTCTTTTGTGTGGGAAGCTCAGTTGTCAATTTCATTAAGCAGCATAGGAAAAGCTCTTCGGGGGTAACGGGTAAAGCTAAACCTAGCTTATGAACATTTTGGATCAGTATACCTAAGCTCAGTTGGCGTGCCCGATAGTGACCCCGATTTCTGAAGGATGTTGGCCTTTCCTGCTAAGTAGCAGAGCCATAATTGCAAGAAAAATTTCGAGATCTGATGTTCTACACACCAACGCAATTGTGAAGCTTATGGGATCGGAGCAAAGTGGGCCGTCTGTAAGGTGTGACCCTATTCGGGAGAATGTTTTGGAGGAAGATGTGTGGCAGTGTTCTGGCAGCTGATGAAAGGTGGATATTTGATCTACGGAGCTATGCAAAGTTCAGTTTATCAGCTGTAGACCATGCACCAATATTACGTGGTCCCAGTTTCGGTCAATGAAAGATGAGAAGCAGAAGAGACCTAGTCGGCTATTGGAGGTAGCAGCGCATTCACTTAGTTGATATTGAGTCGTACTAGTTGTCTTAAAGAACAAGGGACTGGAGATCTACGCATTGGAGCTAGTAGCTTTGATACATGTGTGCCACTGAATCATGCCTGTCGGTGTCATCAGCCATTAATGAGTCGAGTACTATGGTCCCCATCCAAAGAAGCGGTAGTTATCAATCCGACTGGGTTCATTGGTTAGTGTTTTCATACTTCGTCACTGGATTGTAGACTATCCCTTCGTTTCCACTCATTACATGGCTGGATACCAAGAAGCCTCATGGGCTGGAACTAAAATCCGCTTCCCACACATCACTTCTTCCACCGTGATGGACACTGCGGAGAGAATCGGGTGCAAGCCATTGGGAAGCAGCTGCAATCAGATTAATGCTACATCCGTTTTGTGAAGCTCGTTTGAAGACAAGCTATTCATTCTCTTTGGCCCATACTCAGAAAGCGTTCTCGCGACAGATTTCTTTGGGTGCTTCTCCTCTCTGTTCACGATCATCTTCAACATGAGATTAATTGTCTGGCCTTGGCGCTTTGTTTTTTTTTGCTTCTCTATTCGGAGGACCTGAATGGAGAACAATGATCTTTCTCAATAAATCTATGGACGTTCGCTATCGGTGGAGGTCATGTAAACTACGCGAAAGTGTTCCATCGACCGTTCTAGGCTGTATCGATGATTAGAAGTTTGTATACTGTCAAATTCACAGGTTCTTTCCTAACCCCCGGTTTAGTGTGAGTGGCACTGGTAGCCCGGAACAGCTTTGGAGGATTCGAGGAAGCAGCCACTCCTTGAGGATGTGTCCTGACCATCAGGTTTCACAGCGTCTCCGTAAACAAATTGCTGGTAGATTTGTCAAAGATAGACATCTTGATTGGTACCCACTGTTCGGCCTTATTGAACAGCGAGTGTCTAATAACTCACGGAAGCGTGTGGAATCCCAAAAGATTCTCACTCTTCGCGTCAGCCCGTAACTAGCTAAATCGTTGCGACGTGACGCATCGACATCCTATACTGAATGTTATTCGTCTGAACAGGCTAGCAACTGATTGTCTTATCAGACAGAGCCTGTTGTCGATGTGGAACCACTAACAACGCAGCCTCGATTGTATCGCTTAGAGCTGTTCCATCGTTTGTGTAGCCTGACGCTGATTTTTCGGACTCCTCCAGATAGGCGGCGGTTGAAGGTTTTCGCTGAATTCAGCCATGAAACGTAAGTGGATTCCTGAATTCGAGTTTCTTGCAGACAGCACGTCAGTTCGTGAGTTCCGATAAGGGCTAATTATTGATCAAGAGTGTCATTGAATCTCCTTGCTTCGAGTGCAGTGCGTGGACACAGAAAAGCGGTAGAAGACCGAGTTATTCAGGCCTATACCAATGAGCTGATGGTTGATGAGATATTTCTGTGTAGGTCTTCTGGCAAAAGCTATCGAAACTCATTGTAAACGGGTGATCGCGGTAGAAAATGGAAATCTTCCAAAGCAAGCTGATTATTCGGGATTCAGGGCAATACGAACTTCAGATTATATTGAGTTGTTCATTAATTCCGCGGTTTACTGGTCGAAATTTACATGTAATGGGCTTCCACTTCGACTGGAGGGTTCGAATGTTGGCTCACTTCAACGTCAACGTCTCACGACGTTTTTAAAGCTGGTGTTTGTTGAATCAAAAAGCCATTACTGGGTGTGCGCAGAACGACAAAGCTGAGAAGAAAACAAGGACCAATGAAGAACCTCTTCATCTTCGAAAATGCACTAACAGGGAGAGACTAGCAACATATATTGATCTCTCAGAAGCTCCTGCGCTTCTGACCCAGCTCATTCAAGACCCATTCATATCGAACAAGATTCACACCGAACTGACAAATTTTCGAGCACCAGGAAGTGAGCCGGATAAACCCAAGCGGAAGGGTTCCAGATTTCAACCTGGACCAGAGATACTAACAAAACATGTGATGGGTTCGGCAACTGCAGCCGACATCAGTGCAGTGGTGGCGCCTGTGGGATACATAAGGTCGTCCAGTTGTGCGTAAGCTTGTTATTATGGTAAAATATCCCGGCAGCTATGCAGACCAGAAATATGGACGGTGGATGTTAACTATCGATCTTAGTGAATATCTACTCGATCCTGCCCTGTCACTTTTCTCAACTTTGTTTCTAGTAACATTTCACTTGACCCGGTGCATGTGAGTGTATCGGTGCACAAGTTTCACTTCACAGATTGCTGCTTTGCCGCTATTACCGCTACCGAGTTTCATGGAGCCTACAACTTGTTGCGTATTACCTAATACTTTCTCCCTTACCATTATTCTTTAGATACGCATTTGAGCGAATCGATGGCAGGGTGAAGGGCCCACTTCGACAAATAATTGTGGATCGATTTAACGCCCGGAACTGTGAAACATTCATATTTCTTCTTTCAACGCGTGCTGGTGGCGAGGGGATCAACCTGGCTTCGGCAGACACTGTACGTTTCTGCACTGTTCGGTTTGGCTGGGTGCTGTTTAACTGGTGCTTATTTTTCCTACGGCTTGATATATTCTAACCTTCGTTCCCGATAGCTTTTAGTTCTCGTGTCACTTGGCTGATGTGTTTTTTCGTCCAAGTGGTCGATGCATTTTGTCTCTGTCGGTCCAAGTAGTGGTTGCTTAGCAATCCTTGGATCAGTCGAAATCGGAGCTCTCTAATGAGCTTGAGCTTAGTAAGTGAGGCACTACGTGGAGCCAATAGGCAGTTTTCTCGTAGAACTGCCTCTGGAACAGTCACTGTTCATTCATCAGAAAAGTGATCATTGTGCAGCATGACACTCTGATCCACGTGAGAATCGAACTTTAGCTCTAGATAGCCACGTTCAAACTTTCAGCCTGCCACGTCGTCATCCATCCGTTACTGTTGTTGACGATCACGTCACGTGAGCTCACGCGCAATCTGCTCTTTTGTTCTCAAACCTTCAAAATCACCCTGGTCAGTGTAGACTGCGCTCGGAGCTTAGGCCTTAAATCCAGTGATTTGGAGAGCCGTCTCGTCAGTGGTTATACAGAATCGGATAGACATGTTCACTGGCAGAAGACTCATTGAGACGCATATTCGACTTTGACTCATCAAAGCCTCTTGAATTCACAGTAATGGTCACTGTGGGACGGTAGCATTACTTGTCCCTGCGCGGAACGCGAATCGACCCCAATTGATTCTTGCAACTCCGTAATTCCGCTTCTTTTGGATGCAGATAATTACAATGAATTATTGTGACTGAAAATGAATGATCGACAGGCTATAACCAAAAGGAACCATATCACGAGAGTACGTAGTCCGTGTGATTGACGTTAGCTGGCGGAAATGCAAAGTATTCAGAATCCTTGTAACACAACTCTAAACGAGTGCCTTTAGCAATGTTGGCCCGAAATTTCACAGCTTCGTTATGCAAACGCACACACATGCGTGTGTTGGTATAAACCAGTCAGTTGAAGAGATGCTTCTCGTAGATTGTGCTGAGGGCTAATGGGGTTCGCGATAAAGTCACAAAGAACGTTCGCCACCTAGCGGTGTAGAATGTTTGATTTGACTTACCATTTTTCAGTACGTGTTGGCAAGAACTGAAAAAAACTTCTCAAGCACCACTCATGTGGGTCAGACTAGTGCCTTTTTGTGGCCTTCGAGGGACCTGTTACGAACGATTTTCAATTTCCCGAGGATAGCTGCATCGTTTTATAACGTTTATGAGCATATGTACATCAGTTGCTTGTAGAATTGGTATGCACATCCACATCACTCATTTGAGTTCTTTTTCCGTACTGGCGCGATTATTCTGATTATTCCACATCAAAGCACATACTAAACAGAAGATTCCCGTCAGGATAGTGATGTATGGGTTAAAGTACGTGTAGTGTTCTGATTTCATTCGGAAACTTCGTTCTTGACTCCGAGTGCGCAATATTTGAGGCTCCATATGTTCTGTCGGGTCGCTCCCACTTTATTCGACAGGTCCAGTTTTCACCAGAGGTTTGCTTCTCCAACGTCTCGAAACCATACGAAGTTACCTCCGTAGTCCTTTGTCACACCGTAAAAGTCCGTCTTTGTCATGAACATTCTGATGACATCATTCTTATTTTCCTGCATTCATTCGACAGGTTATCCTGTACGATTCAGATTGGAACCCCCAGTGTGACCTTCAAGCACTGTCTAGAGCTCATCGCATTGGTCAGTCCCGTCACGTCGTTGTATATCGTTTCGTCACGCGTCACAGTATGGAAGAACGTCTAAATTTTGTGGCACGTCGAAAATTGGCGCTTACGAATCTAGTAGTTAACCAACAACAGCAACGAATCCAGCAAAAGGCTCTGAAAGCTCAAACCGATATGCCTATCGAGACTGCTGAGGGTCCTACTGCTCCAGCCGAACAAGAACCCCCAGAGGCGTCATCCAAGGATCAGGAGTCTGTTAAGGCCCTGCCCGAATCGTCCTCTGCTTCCTCGTCAGCGCCAGGTCAGCTACGAGAAGGTGCCGTTTCGAATCGTTTGAGCCGCGCTGAAATGGATGACATGCTTCGTTGTGGAATTGAGGCTTTGTTTGCAGTGGATGACATGTTGGATGAGAACGACTTGAAAAAAGCCGCTCGGAGTTTAAGTAAGTTGTCGTTCTTATGTATTTTCATTATTCTGTGAGCAACCCACTTGTCTGAGTTGCGAAGTGCCATTTTGATATTCTTAGTGATTCGGAAACTTCGTCGAACCATATTGAACACTGTCAGGTACAGTTCGTTGGAAATTGTGATCTATGCTCGTCGCGTATAGCCGGTCCTGCCCGCTGGTCATGTCTCGTAGCTGAGTATCCCTTTCCAGACTGGCTCGTTACATCAAACTGTACTAATCAACTTTGTGCATGAAAATGCTTTGAACCGTTGGAAGGCCTTTCAGTCGGCTTAAATCGCAGGAAACATATGCGGATAGCACGTGGAATGAAACTATATGAAGGGCTTCTGCATTCACAGTTGATGATTCGTAATTGTCACATCAGACGAGGAGAAACTGAACAGTTGGCCTCAGTATGCATCTGAATGATTGACCAGTTACCCACGATACCGTGGTTGACTCATGTGTGACCAGTATGTCGCCTGCTGTTTACCGTGGTGGTCATAGTATGTCACTTCTAACTCTCACAGCATAGATGGTATCTGCACTAAATGTTATTACCGCCATTTATGTCAATAGTGTAAGCTGCATGTATTTCCCTGACCTCATATCCTGCTCTTCCTTTGCAGGTGACAGTGCCGAAAACTCAGGTATGTCGTTTAGTTCTTATTGCGTGAACTCTCGATTACATGTTCATTTTGAGAGCTGTCATTTTTTAATGTCAGCGCTATGGCCGTTCGGGGTGAAACAGAAACAAATGATCAATGAACTGGATGGACCTACCGTCGGCCTGACACACACTATCTTTATCCTAACACTAGTAATAATAATAACAATAATTGTAATAATAATTTTCAGCTCCACTTTATCCGTATCACTCGCATATTTTTCACTGGATGTCTTGAAGTGCACTGTTCACAATGCACACCTGTCCTTCCTTTGCTTGAGCATTGATCTTTGTTTCCAATACGGTTGCCAGAACCGCCATCCAAGGAACCAATTCATTTCCTCTTGTTTATGACTTAAGTATTTAACTTTTCACCGAAAAGCATAAGCGCTTTAGTTCCGTCGGGAATGAAAAAAACCCGGCGCACTTGTATTCGGTTGTGTTGCTGAAAGACCCGAGGATCACTTGAAAAAACCAATCACGGCTCACGGTCTCATGCCTAACTCAACACATTGATATTGTGCTCATTCTCTTCCGACGTCAGACACCTTGCTCGATTGTATACCTCTATCCTGTGCGAACCAACGGACGCGAGCGTGATTAATGAGAATTTTGCCTACCGCATGCATTGATTCACTGCACTTGTGACAGACAGGCGCCTCGTAAAGTACGGTTTTGCAATGATTAGACATTTTCCATTGGCCTCCGCATCAAAGGATATACAAGAGGATACCTTTTACCAAAAGTTGATTTTCTTGTTCCTGTCCACTTGCTCAGTCAGAAACTGAACTTCTCATCCAAGCTTGTTATTTGTCTAAATTGCTTCCTACCCCTCTATTACCATATGTGTCCTTCTCGGAAGCTTTTTCGCTGAATTAGGGCTGCATCGTATTCAACGACCCATTATTTCCCCCTACAGTTCGTTTTTTGTGTAAACACTCTTAGAAGGAGGGAATCTATTGGTATAGTTCAGCTGTAACATCCTTCTGGTGCGTAGCTACCATGCCACTCGAAGGAAGCACGAGGGCTGGGATACTGTCAAGTTGCCCAAGTCTAGACAGGAAAGTCGAGAGGCAGAGGTCGAGTTCGAACCACGGACCTTCTGGTCAGTAGATTCGGGCTCTAACCAGTTGAGCCATCTCACCCCCAATTATTGATATAGACAGAACGTCTGTTACTGTGCCAGGACACCAGTGAGTTCAGAACTTCCTTTCGGTGTACCTACGTTGTGTACGTTGTATCTAAGCGCAACTGTGTCAGTCGAACGCGTCTATGAGTAGATGGCTATTGGAGTGGTGGGATTCCGTATAAAATTCTCCCCAAACTCCACTTCATGTGGAATGGTCGTGCACCATTTTCGACAGATGCTCATTGCAGGTCCTTGTTACCAGTGTGGAAACTGGCTTCTGTTTACACTTTCGGATTCCATGCATGCATTCATTCTGGCTTTAGCTGATTCGGAGAGGATAGTCTACAATGCGGATGCTCTGGCTCGGCTATTGGACCGTGCTAAACTGGAAGCTGAGGCCAATGAGGAGGAAGCCAGATCGACTGCCGATGAATATTTGCACGCTTTTCGTGTTGCTCATTTCGACGTTACATCAGTTGTCACTCCAGAGGAGAAAACGGTCCCCACTGAATCCCAGACAACCGTTACTCCGCCACTCGAACCCCCAGCTGAAAATGAGGTAAACGCAGTTATGGACGCCACACCACAAGAGGAAGGCACTTCTACCCAGGTTAGTTGCCTTGCTTGACTAATCTTCTTGTTTGTTCCTCCAAACTCGTAGGTACCACGTTGGTGTTTGTTATCGTATTGCTCTGTCGGAACAACTTGACAGCTGTTAGACCACATCCCGAAACCCCACCGACCATCTCAAACACTCCGTGTTCAGTCACACGAGATCTTCCTGATTTTTAAGGATAAACGTGTAACGAGTGAACAGGCATAGCGTTTATGCCCAAAGAGAACAGTTGGTAAAGATGTTGGAAGGGTCGTTACAACGAAATTGATACCAATACAAATTCTGAAAATCCCACGGCTACCCATAACTAATCCAAATGTGTCCAACCTCAGACGTCCTTGGCGCCACCTGTCTGAGAAGTTCCGACAAGTGGGACAATCAAGACACTTACTGAATCGTTTTTCGTGACTCCGGACAAATCAGTCGCATCGCTAACCGTTCGCCTTCTCAGACGAAATTATCCACTTTCTTCCAGCGTGAGCCAGTGAACTATTACTGACGTGTTCATCTCATTCCAATTTTTTCGGGTTAAATCCCGGTACGGCAAGAATGTGCCCTCCTACATTTTGGTGTTGACTAACCATAACAATCGTACTAGACCAGGAGGACCACTGCCTCAACTTAGTATGATTAAGTTATGTATGAATTAATGGTAACGGTATGGAAAGTTGGAAGTTCGAACATGAAGTGACCCAGAAGTGGTGTGTGATCTCGCGCTGAGTGCATCTTAGCAGCGTTTTCATGAAACGAACCATGGAAGTGGTACTACAAGTCACTTTTTAAAGCCTAGTTCGATCGGACGCACCCGGTCTTATAACTCAGTGTGCTCTTAGTTATTCCAGTTTTGTGCTCCAGAGTGTTCTGTTGTAGATTCCGGTGAAACTTCGAGTCACGTGTGCACACTCAACAGGGTCCTGCGCTCAATCTTCCTTGCATGAGCTGCAATTCCTTCGATTCGTGCATAGTATGTTCATATGTGTTATGGCCAGCCTAAGCAGATGTATTTATTTTCTGTGTGCCATCATTTCTGTTTGCCCACAGTCGTTTATTCAATCGACAATTCAGGTGGTCTTGGTGAATCAATAGCATTTCATGTGACCATCTCGCCAAGTGGTCTTTTCTACTAGTTCGATGACTGCATAGGCACACCAAAAACGTAGACGAAGCGGTAAAACCTGCCATCTGTGTGATCTTACGGCTCGTTGATTCCAAACCCATTTTACTGATGGAAACTGGTAAACACAAGCACGTGTGTTTTCGCGCTCTGTGGCTCTCAGACACTAGAGACCCTTAAACTCTAAGTGCGTGAACCTTTCCAAGGTGTCGTCAACCCGAGTCAGCCTCCATTTTGTGCATTAAATTCGTTCGTTTGATTTCATCGTGGTTCGTCTTCTAACGATATGTGTATTTTTAAAGGCTCTAGGTTATGCTGCATTTTGGGATCGCCTGCTACGTGAGCGGCACAATCGTCTTTGCAAAGCAGAGGCCGAAGGTGCCCCATCAGAATTGTCGCGGCGTGTTAGCAAGGCGTCATGGAGGTTAAAACAACACTGTCGTGCGCCTGAATCAGAGGAGGATAGCCCCCAGATGCTTGATCAAGAGGATATCGGATCTTCAACCGACGCAAACCTTGATCGTGGACGAGGTTTACGTCGTTCCAAAGGCGCGAGTCGTGATCGGTCAGATGATAATGATCTTGTGGAAGAAATTCCTGCACACGACAAAATACGCCGTCGATACGAGCGTTTTCGTCAAGCTGTTGGTGTTGATTCTAGCAAGCCTGGAGGCCAACAAACGACCAGTGCCTCGAGACGCCGACGCAGAAAGCAAGCCCGACGAACTGCCAATCCCAATAGGGTTCGTCGACCGCGGCCTACGCCTGACCCCGAAGAAATCGCTCCTGATCTCGAAGCATCCGAGGATGATGGTGGGAACAGTGATAATGATCCTTCCTACATACCCTCCGGTGAGGAATCGGATGATGTAGTTTCCGATGCAGAACTCCTCAATAGATGGGTGAGTTTCTATGTCTAAATGGAATCTGCATCTTTGGACTCATTGTTAACTGACTGGTTTGATTTCGCATTCCCCTCAGCCCAACTAAAGTACTTTTGGGTTGATCAACTTTATGGAAATTGATGCGATGCGACTGCACTATATCTATTTCTATGCAGCACCGGACGGATGAACTCACTCATATACAATGCATAAGACGTTACTCAGTTCCCTTAATTGTAAGCGTCCTTTTTTTCGGGGAACTTCGACGCCCGATCACTGTTATTTGGACAGTTAACGTCATTCCACTTGGTTCTTAAGTAAGTGCGGTGAATCCTTCACTTACCCAACTCACCACTCTTCGGTTATCTCCTGTTGAAGCTACTGTTTTCCGTTGCCAAACAGCGATATCGTGGTTTCGCAATCCATATTCTTTTTTGGAAGATTGCCGTAATGTCTTACATCGTCAGGCAACCTTTTGATTCATCTATGCAAAATTGGCGGAAAACTACACTGTTGTGTGAACACAAGTGCTTCATTTCAGTCCTAGATTGATCCCTCATCGCTTTCTTCTTACCTGGCGATCTGTGTTACTTAGTAGGTGGTCAGTGTTTAACTTTTCGAATACACAACGCAGTTTTTGCCATGGTAGTTTAATGTACGAAACGATGTTGAGGTTGGTTCTTAACTAATGACACCCAATTTTCATCACATATTACTTGAGTTAGTTGTTTATTAATTTTGCGGTCATTTTTTATTCTCTCGGCACAAATCTTAAAAAAAATGTAGCGAGCTGAATGGGCACAAAATACCAGAGCTACTTCATTCAGTCAACCAATAAGTGTTCCTGGTGTGCGCTTAGTAGGCTCCGTACTCAAATTCAACTAGTTTCTGGAACTAATTAGAACTCATTAGTTGGTTGTGTTCTTTATGTGAGCGATACCACAATTCATCTGAGTCGACTGAACGATCGCACATAAATCCTTGTTATCGGTAATGCGTAGAGAAATTGTCTACTGGAATACGCGGCGTAGGCATTGACATTAAACGTGCTTGACCCAAAATTTTGGTGAACCATTTCCACGTCAGTCTTTCCAAATGGGATACCAAAAAACAGTACTTAGCATGAACTGCAAAGGATGCTGTGCGTAAGTTTCTGAGGGTCACAAATAAATTGGAATAAACTATTTTTAATCCAGAAACATCTGAGAGCTCACAGGAAGCACAAAGTCATATCCCATCATATCTCCAATGCCGGGCGGTGATGTTTAATGATAATAAAAGTGTGATCTGGACAGTAAATATGACTGGGGTTTTACGCCATGTTATGCAAAAAACGAGAGCCGAATCGTAATAGATCATGTTCTATACCGTAGAGCTCCGTTTATGTGGTAGGCGAACAAAATGTGCAGAAAACCACGTCCGATTCATATATATGACTGTGTAACCATCATTTCCTTCCGTCTTCCTCAGAGGATCGAGCAAAAAAGTAGTATTTCAAGATAGACCCGCACAGCTTGACCCACTAGACTAATGTTTCCATGCTGGATATCTGATTGCCATGCATACGGATGTAGGTATAAACTCACTGTGACATATGAGGGACATAACAACAAGGCTTCTAACAAGCTGGTGTGCCGAAGAAGAGAATCAGGTGATGTGGAAGAATTCAAGGGCGAATTGGCGGGATATTTTAATGATGAGTGTGCGAAACATTATCTTCTGGTCCCAGGATGTACTGCCTTTTGCATTTAGTTCGGGCTGGTCCCGATAGCGTTTTTCACTCCTTTAGCACCCAACATGATCACGGTACACACAAAAAACTGAACAAGTGATTAATTTACGGGGCGGCTACTTTGAGGGCCATGTATAGAGGATGTGATTTTTCTGAGTTGTTGAACTTCTGTGTAGGAATTCAAGGAAAATAAGTGACCTCAACGTTGCTCCACGATCCATAATGATGTTTGCTGGACAGCGTTGAGGAGACAGTGAAATTCTCAGAATGTTCTTCCTCGTATCGCATTCTCAAACGATACTCATCAGTTATCCATTATCAGCATTGTGCCTGCCGCGAGTTCTGAGTGACCTTGAACCTGAAACATTGGACCGTGACTAACTAAATAGTGGTGTGAATTAATTTTCCTTATCCATAACAAACCACCTTGGTGGTTTCAATGTTGTCGAATTTCTTCTCGACAGATCAATCATCGGATTACTCTCCTGAGAATATCACTGATCATATCTGTGTGGTTTGGAGATTTTGTGCGACTCTCCACAATTTCATCGCTTTGAGTCAAAACGAGGTGCACAACGCAGGTGCTTCATCCCTGTTGAGACCATCAACTAGGCAGAGCTAAGTTCCGAACCGGGGAGCGCCTTCTCAAGTGTGAATTAGAACTATGGAGGCTTATCGCGACTTTTCTGTTCTCGTTTCCGAATGGCTCGGTGTCAGTTGGATCAAGCCAGTCGTGTGACCTCAGCATTCTTTGCACTAATACTTAGTCTTGACTTATGAAAACCACCAATAAATTCTTACCCCAGGCAGTCCGGTCTGTACTTTTTATCTACAGCGAAAGCGGGAAAAGTTGAATGTCGTGGCCGATGATGACGAAGAGGTATTATATCTATCGGATTCTGATGAACGAGTCGCTAATTTGGAGCCGGTTGCATTTGGAAACATACTCAGCGACATGTGGGCAACCGCATCTTGGCATCCGGATCCAGCTGTGTGTGCCGTCTGGCGGGAGGCGGTCAACAAACTAGACTCCAAAATTAATTTCGAAAATGGTCATATGTTTATTTACGGATTCGGTCCTGAGAATAGGACCTCTTTTGCTAACGCTGTCATGCGGTAAGTTGTTTCAAAGTCGCTTAGATCTGTCGCTTTAATTCAAGTTTTTGAAGCCAACTGTTTGTCGACCAGAACATACTGATGACTGTTTTCGCCAACTTCCGTGGTTTTTGACATCCTATTAAGCGCTTGGTTTTAGAAATCGGGCTATTTGTGTGCTCAACTCTAACCATCAAGCGACACATTAGTTCTAGTTCTATTATTTTGAATAATCACTCATGTGCACACTAAAGTGATGTCATGTGGCTATATATCGAACATCTTCGGTACTTTGAGTATCAGTGCAACTGAATTCTAAGATAGTCTTCGCGTTGAATATCGTAAATAAGATATTTATTCAAGGCTAACTAGAGCGCACTTTACCGGCGAATGAGCGCGTAAGTGAGGATAATGAAAATAAAAATAAAACACGATTTAGTTTTCTTGTCAGATAAGAGGTTGATTAAAATTGTTGGTTATACCCAGCTGGTGTACTTCGATTGGGACGAAGAGCGTTGTCGGCTCCCGATAAGTCTCGGAGGTTTTTCCCCTATTACACGGGAGAAACGTTCATTCTTTTCCTTTGAGAGGTACTGGGTTACTTGGTATTAACCCAGTTTTCGTTCGGAAGCCATCAGGGACTGCGGCTTTTCTGTAGTGCCCCGTTACTTTTCACGACCGACCGGCAATATAATGTTAATCCAAAGCTACCATGTCCGATGGTCGGATTTCAGCAGACTGCACCAAGTGGACATAAACTATCAATCGATTGAAAAAAGGCTAGTGATTAAATGGGAATGTACGTCGCCCAACGCTGATATTGCTATCGATAAATTTGCAGACATCAGTTCTTATGTGTTTGTCTGCACTGAAAACCAACTCCTCTGAAATTAAATACTCATTTCAGATTCAAAGTACTGTTCATGAAATGCTCAGGTGATATGGAATGTGATTCCTAAATGCCGGATCCTCGTTCCGGTTGCGGTGGTAGCTTAAAAGCGGAAGTGTTCTTCGGTGCAATTCAATTGCGTTCGCATTTTACGCTATCTTCACTTACATGTGATTGTGTAACTCCACGTGTGACAGATCTGCTATATAAGGGTGAAATCAGCTTGGTCACTGGCTGTTTGATGAGCCTCAAAACAGCTCAACTTTAGCTGGCTTCCAAGTGGTTTTCCTGATCCGTATAAGTGGTATCACACCACTGAAACATCTCCTTACACTGCAATCCACCTAACTATCCTTACATGGTTACTCCATATTGCAAAGTAATTTCGTTGAATTCCCGTGGGTGGCACCAGCTCCATGTGGCCCCTCCTCGTTGTGTGGCAAGATTTTTTTGCCTCCTATGAGATAAGTTAGAATTCTCCTTGTCCCTTCCTTGCCAGTTTGTACTTCTCTAACTACTGTCATAGTTTTGTTTGTTGTAACACCTGCAGAGTAAGTATTCATGAATTAGTTTACTTAACACCAAGAGTCTCTTGTGATGGATAATAGCCCAAGAAATATGCTGTGCACATGCCACTGAAGAATGGCGATTGACTGTCAGATGTAGTCTAGGTTCTACAGAACTATTCATGATCAAGTCGCTCCAAATTAGCCTCGGACAGACAACTGACCTGTCAAGAACTTAAAGACTCTTTTGGGGTGCGGCCCATTGTGTTTGCTGTCTTTGTGGTACCTGCTCAGGTGTGATACTCTCCCAAGACAGACTCTTTCCTTCGGAAGAGACATGTTTGTGAAAAGGAGTCGTTCTTTCTGTTGCCGTTCCCTGTATCGGGACTCTCCAGGGCCTTATAAAGAACCATTCTGGTTCCAGAACTGACTGGTTTACCTTTCAATCGGAACTAGCGTCATTGTCGGTGCTCCTTAGTTTAGTTTCAGAGAGTGAGCTTCAGCAAGACTAGCGTTATACTGTTCCACAGATAATTTGACCTCACAGATCGCTGGTCCTTAAGCTTGAAATTAACCCGAAGTTTTCTAAGTTAAGGTGGCTAGTGCGCGAATTTACTGAGCGGGGGGTCCGTGGTTCGAACCCAACCTCTGCCTCTCGATTTCCGCTTTCTAGACTTGGGCAACCTGGCAGAATCCAAGCCCTCGTGCTTCCTTCGGGTGGCATGTCATTCAGGCACCGAGAGTGTGCTACAGCTGAATGTTTTTTTTAAATTTTTCCAAGTTCGAAATATTTGCGATTTCTGTCTTGTACTCCTACAATTCACATTAGGCTACTGCACATTGGACCGCTATCTTTTATGGGCTTGTTATGGCCTGCTGGCATGGAAATTACTCGTTTGTGGTGATTGCTTTGCAGATCCGTCATGCTTATGTGAAATGATATATGTACAGTGTTTCACTCCGGTGAGAGTGAGAAGTTTCAGTACATTCTAATAAAACATGTGGAGTATACTCAGAGACAAGCGGAATTTTCACCAGACGTAGACACGTCGGAGATTGTGCCTATTAGTCGCTCCTCCGAAAAGGAAACACTCCATCTAAGTGGCATTTTGGTATTCCACGCGGCTGGGATGGGATGGAGCGGGTTGCTGTTTCAATAGAGCCACAAATTCATCAGCAAGGCTTTTACCAGCTTGAATTGCAGGCTCTTGTGCGACCAGACTTCATAGCCCCTCCTGTCAACCGGGCCCAAATGCATATTGCATCAGCGCCTTAAAAAGGCACTGTTTTTTTTTTCTGGCTGTCAGGATTTCAGTTTAAACCAGACAAACTTCTCAGTTGATTTGCCGTCCGTAGTTTCTGCTGACCACATACTACTCACGAACGGTTTGCTACCTACTAGCATCACACACCCTCTCCTGGTCCCATTTTTATGGCAGCATAGGACGGTTTCCATGAAGTATCAGTCAATACCTTGATAATGGTAGGACAAACTCGTACATGCCGGTAGCAAAGTACACGGCAGAACCTAATTTGATAAATCCCAAGAACATGTTTCCTTCAGATGCTTCTCCATGTTATTAGTTATTTTGCTCCTGTTTTTCCATCCCTCTTGCACGGTGATTAGTTTTTTTTCTTCTCTCGAATTCTCTCCTTTTCCTTTGCAGATACGGTCTTCCTCCACCAGGTATAATTCCCCCACAGGACTGGCTTCCCCCCAGTCTTTTTCACGTTGGCCAACAACGCCTGTATGCCTATACCGCTCTATTCATGTATCATTTGTACGCAGACCCAAACGCTCTAGATGATACCGTGGATCAGTGAGTACAACTTTCATTTAAGGTTGTTTTTAGTCAAGGTTCTATTCTTAGATTGTACTCACCTCTGCATGTGGCCTCAAACAAATAAGCGGATGTTCAAATGTATTGGTGGATACTCGGCGATAAGACACTTATCGCCTTATTAAGTCCTCTGATGGACAAATGAATCACCCAGTGACTAACTATATTGACCACTTTTGATGACAATGGACTTTCCTAACAATGACTGGCTTACGAATACGTAAGAAGTCCCCAAGTTTGTTTCATGTAGTCGATGACCCTTTTGCACCCTAAATCTTTCTCGTTTCGGTGATTTGTTAAAACGGAGTCACCATTTGTAGTCTATATTGTAATACCATGTTTCCAAGGCAAACTACTCACCTCAACCCTTCACACAAGGTTTTGTTCTCATTTGTCGCAAATTTGGGATGAGATACTTTCATTCACGTTTTATTAATGTTCGGTTGGGGCGAGATGGACCAAGTGGTTAGAGCGCGAATTTACTGACCGGAAGGTCCGTGGTTCGAACCCGACCTCTGCCTCTCGAATTCTCCTGTCTAGACTTTGGCAACCTGACAGTATCCCAGCCCTTGTGCCTCATTCGTGTGGCATGGCAGCTAGGCACCGAAAGGGTGCTACAGCTGAACGATTAGTGTTCGGTAACCGAGTTTTTATCTTCCTACACTGAGTTATTTAGACGAGTGTTAGCTACCTACCAGGCCACCGTTTTCTGTAAGATACAAACTTGTTTTGTGAAATCTCTCATCAAATAAAACCTTTCTGAACGGATCACTATGCTTCACTTCGTTCTTTGTTTTGTTCCCATCTATAAAAGCAGATCGCAGTTTGAGGTACAAATTTTCTTATGTCGAGACCTAGCAAATAACTTTTTATTCGGGGATTTTTTCACAGGCAATATCCCCTTTGAACATAAATACTGTATTTGGGTTCGTCAAACAAACTGACTACTCGTGGACAGTTATGTTCGTCCCATCGTATGACCTACATTTGAACCACAAGATGCAATCATTCAAAGACAGTTGCTCTGTAGCCGATTCTTCGGTCCTATAGCTATCGCCTTCAGCACGTCTCCATTGCATTCAGCTGCTCAGCTTGATTTCCTTTCACCAACATTGTTCTTCATTGGGTCAATGCGCTCCACCCTCCTCACTAATTGGCTGTTCTTTCATGACTACCCTCTTGTCAATAGGACCGAATTGTAGTGTGGCACCAACGTGCTTGACTTGCATCCCAAACTTTTGACTTTCGAATTCCATCATGGCTGTGGATGTGCGATACCGCTGGTCTCCAATGAGTGCTTAGCCAAATCCTACCTTCATTCGGTGTGGACTAACTCATCTGTGTCCGAACTCTGGCCGGAATGACAACTGATTTCTCGACCGATATTTTAATTAACTGTCACTGGTGCTGGTTCTATCACAATGTCTATGCCCTCATCTAATGGCATCTTCTATCCTGGCGCGAAGCAACCATTACCCAACAAGGAGAATTGACTGTCATAATTCATCTGTGATTAGCTGTCGCCACACCTGTTAATACTAAACGTTTTGTCATGCCACGTTCATCCCAACATGACGGGTCAGTGGCAAACACTCCACAAACACGCTCAAGCAGATTGCTGGAAGTGCGAATTTCTGAGGATGGTGATAGATTTACCTATTCTAAATATATCGGTTACATCCGTCTAAAAATGCCAAGACCTGGTAACCACTTTGTTATCGGTCCCTCAGGGTAACATTCCCATTTCATCGCCATTTTTCAATTCGAACTAATTTCCTTCCAGTTTCACCTAAAGAAACTCCAAGCTGATTGGTTTGTTAGCTCGTGGTCATTTCACCTCTTGCCAAGGGTTTTACTTGAATTCTGGGTTTTCTTGACCAAGATCTACCTCTACACTCTCTACACACTCTACACACTCTTGATGAGGACTTGATCGATAGCGGTTGCTAACAGTTTCAGCAGCTTTTGACCATAGAATATTCCCTGGTGGTATGGCGAAGTTCTTATACTTTAGAACGATGTAGTATCCTGATGTCACAAACGATAACTTAACCACCTTCCAAGCCGCTGCGTCGGCGAACCGATTAATTTTCCCCGTAACCGCCTGTGACCTAAAGTTGCCATGCTTCTATCCTAATCTGTAGCTGGAGCGATGGGATCCCGAAGGAAAATCTGTGCGCCTCCGCAGTGCTATCACGGATAGCAATGATGGCCCTAATACGGAACAAAGTCTTGCAATTCGAAGACATCAATGGCGTTCACAGCCGAACCTTTGAAGTACGCATCATCCGTCTGTTTTACTTTTTCTACTCGGTTTATCGAATTGCACTAAGTACTTTCTGCTCAGCCTTTGTTGTCGAGTTTGTATCTTCGTATTATGTTGTTACAAACTAGTCTCCAAGTCCCCCAAACGCTGGTTCTTTTTCGCTTTACGCCGTTTACCCCTAAGCTAAATGTTCCAAATATTCCGTTGCACACCGATCGATCGCGCGACGTTGGTAGTATGGCGTATCCATATTTCCGATTCTCGTAGAATGCTTATGGAGCCAGAGTCTACAAATGAATTTTGACAACAGGTTGCCACTTTTCCATAGGTCATACCGGCACTGTAGTAAGCCTAAGAATATGATGCAGTAAATTGTTAACACATCTTCCGTTCGTCTTGTTAGCTGTGTATTAGTGTGAACGACATAAGGGGTTTGAGTAACCATCTGTGCAAACATTTAATGGGAATCAGACATTCGACCGTCCGGCAAGCTACTTTTCACATAAGTTATCCGACTAATTTGCTTTAAGAACACGTACTTAACAGGGTGCACTGTTACAACAAACCAATACCTGTTGCGGTTTTTGTCATGTCGCTGATTTGTTCGCTGATCTGGGCTATTTGTATGTGAGCGTTTCATCACCAGTCAAAGTGATGTCATCAATTCGTCGTTGTGCGATCCATTAAGACATTGCATCACTGGTTGTCTACTTTATCCGTTGTACACGAAATGACACACTCCGTGTTCTAAGAATTTTCCTCCTTTGTATTTTTCCATCCTTTTCGAAAGTTTTTGTCGGCTGTAGGAGTCACGTTGTGCGTGTAAAATGCCCTAAATAGACTGTAGCTATGCGATCGGCATGTCTCATTCCTCTCGCTCATAAGCCACTCTACTATTGGAGGGTCCGCACGCTCAGAGACAATGCGGAATTTCGTATGATATTCCTGTGCTTCGTAGTTTTTTTGCAACAGAATTGTCAAGCGCAGCGAACAATTCGAACAGAATGATGTTCATGTTTGATTGCAACTCCGCTCTGCCTAAATCGCTTCATTCCAACAACCTGGAGACGTAGCATGCAAGTATTTTCACATCCATAAGGTTTCACCCCAACTTAATGTCCAGTGGAGTCAGTCAAAATAAGTCTGAATACGCCAGCCGTGATTATACGTTTTGCTACTTATTTTCGGAATGTTACTTATGAGGAGGGACAGACATTTTTTTTTCTTGTTCATGGGTATTCCTGGCTATCAGTTTTGCCATTGCTTCTAACCTCTTTAAGACTTATTATGATCATGTGGCCATCAGAAAAACACCGTGAGAAGGCTAACAAATCATACTGATTTTGGTAATCCTACACAACAATATGTTTACGTATCCCTTTCTGGTTTATAAACTTCTACACGTGTGGTAGGTATATACATCGTCGGTCATTGCTTCTAACCTCTTTAAGACTTATTATGATCATGTGGCCATCAGAAAAACACCGTGAGAAGGCTAACAAATCATACTGATTTTGGTAATCCTACACAACAATATGTTTACGTATCCCTTTCTGGTTTATAAACTTCTACACGTGTGGTAGGTATATACAATCGTCGGTCAATTTTGATAATCTTCTCAGGTTTACAATCTCTATTCTCCGAGCCCCAATGGCTACTGGGCATCCTAATATCACCATACAGTAAAAACTGGTCGCTGATTTTGGCCTTAAATTTATCATTCACATCCGTATTTCCTTCGGAAGGCTTAGCAACAGGTGGATGACTGTAATGCTCCACTGTCCTACTGTGCATCCAATCATGTGAGGGGACTCTTGCCAAGCGGACACCGTCCGTTTTGGAGCGTTGTACGAAATTCCTTATCCAGAGTGAACACTGTGGTGGGTGAATGCATGAACTGAGGTTCATGTTTCCTCATCCGTAAGAATGTCTCCAACCAATGCGGCATTTCGCAGTGGACGCACCGAGTTTTTGGTTCATTTCGGCCTACAACCTTTGTATCATATGCTCGGACGAACGTGTACGCCGCCTCTGTATAATGCAACCAATGTTTCGTTTTTTTGAGTTTGTTAACTGCACACTGTCCCGAAGCTGAACCTGGATTACCCCGAGCAAAGTCGATCCAACTTTCTAAGTAGTTTCTTCCTGTTCTGTGCGCATAAACTGATGGTTCTCGACTTTTTTGTGCCGCAACTCTGTCGTTACTCAATGGTCGATTCCTCTCGATTATATTTATGATACTTATCTTCTGTACCAATGAGAACTCAGAACGTTAACTCATCTAGGTTGTCCAGGTCCGCAAGCAGCCATCCGGATATGGGTCTGGTTAGCACTTGCCATCCCATCGAACTGCAATCCCTGCTCTCCAGCTGCATTGAACAGCTTAGTCGGTGCGATTTATATTCGCTGGTAATGTACCATACTTTGATTATGACCGCTCAGTCGGAATCCAACCGACTCGGAGTTGCAGCCGGTGCGACTTGTTTGAGGGAGTCTCCGATGTGTGCCGCGAAACAGCTGAATGAACTCAATTGTTCAATTATGACTGTTAGCATACAGCGTAATGAGTATGTGGATATTTGCACAAGCGTATTTATTCCACACACTTTCGGTGTTAAGGTCCTACATTGTTTTTGACGTAAACGGCTCCTGGTCCCGCTTGCAGCTTTGCCTTGTGACTTAGTCGTAAATCTTGCCGCTCGATTAGTATCATTATCATTGTTGGTTTACGCATACTGGTGGATTACAGGCCTTGGACTAATTTTTGGTCATATACCCTGGCTATCCTCCTCACTGGATACATCTGCCTTGACAGCGAAACCTAAATCAATATGCTCTTTAAAATCACGGTCTTAATCGGTCAGTTGAATACAGGTTGCTGCTTGCTTGCGCTATTCATGGACGAATGTCGGTGTGAAACGTGAGCTCGACGTTCATTTCGAACATTGCACGGACATATCATCCGATGGATTAGATTTACATGCCATTGAGGGTCTCGCGCACGTTGCGAACGCATTTGAACTATCCCATCTGGGGTCCATCTGACAGCAGCGCGCAGCTTTCACACGTGTCAGCCACATAGAATCCTCCCACTTGATGGCACTACGCAGCTGGTTTCATTTATAGGTTGGTTGGAAACCAACCGTAACCCGAGTCTGAATGATAGATCATGCGATGGACGTTCCCACCCACAGAACAGTGATCTCACCTTAAATGTGGCTACAAGAGTATTTCAGTAGGACTTCAGTAAAGTATCTGACCCAATATCGCTTCAACTCCTCCTACGAACGTTGCCATCAACTTACATGTGCATACCAGTGTAAACCGCCTGTAGACATTTTTTCTGGCTTTTTTCGGCTTTCCCATTACCTATGTAACAGATATTGGACTGCGCTAGCAACAGTCGTTGAGTCCATATCACAACGTGCGTACCAATGAGTCATCCGTAGCAATCATCGCTAGGATTGAGGTTTGTGCTATTCCGCCTGTTTCCCATGTGACCGCATATGTAAATCCAGGTTTGTCGCGCCTGCTTTCGTATTGAGAACAAAAACCATAGTGAAATCATATCGCGCGAAGACGAATCAATACGCACACATATATGAGATGAACATAGGCATTTTCGTGAACATTCAAGAGCCGCTCGATAAAATACCGTAACATTGAGTGGTTGCATAGGGCCACATAAATAGGATGCACTCGGATCGTTCTACTTTGAGAACATTTCTGCTTGCATTTGGCCATCATACCTCTTTTTCAGGCTGTAAGTACCCGGTTCAAGTTCAGCATTCACGAAGGGGGCCTGACGCTGTTGCGTCCAACTTGGCACGAAGAGTGGCAACGGATCAATGCAATGGTAGATACTGTGTCACTCGGTAACAAACGGGAGAGAGCCATGTTCCATCTGCAACACACGTGGCATTCTAGGCATGATTATTGGCTTCTGGCGGCTATTCATGTTCATGGCTATTTGCGATGGTCTGACATCCTCAATGATCCCAGATTTCATCTACTCAACACTGGATTAGATGGTATTCTAGAAGACAGTGAGAAGAAAACTGGATCAGAAGAGAAAAACGGTAAGTTTCTTATCACATTTGTTGTTGTTTCTGACTTCCGGCTTTGTCCCGTTGGGTCTATCAGACTCATGTTTGGTAGTACGTCACCCTGGCCCACTTCATCTAAGCATACTTATTGACCCATTGTTTATCTAGTTTCTGCTTATATTTTTGTGCAACCTTGTTCTCTCAGCGGAATCGTCCAACCAACACACCAATAACCTGGCCGAGGCTCAAGCGTTTCTGGTCTCACGCCTCAGAATGCTGGAACAGGCGTTAGTCGTGGAACAAGCCTTGTTTGAAGTTGCACGTGCTGCACTGACAGGCAGTACGGACGGGAAACCGTCCCCTTTGACCCGGGTCCAGAATCTGGCTGTCTGCCTATCGAACAAATTAGCTTCGGCTGGACCTCGCAAACGGATAGCGCTTCCTCGTGATGCGCATGCACGAGAGGCGACACGGGCAGGTACGTGTTGAATAATATGCCTGCATACCACTTATTGATCAATTGTCTAATAGATGATCCAGTGGCGAGCGAAGTCATTGCTTTTATTTCATCTTTTGTAGCTGTTCAGAATCTTCAAGACATACTTGAAGACCTTTTTGCTGATCTTCCTGGCCTACCAGCGTCGGTTATCTGTGCTGAGCCAGAAACCTCCCTGCCCGTCACTCAATCTTCCCCCACTTCTGTACCAAATGACAGTCATATTCTATCCCCAACAAGCAACAACGGAGCTCCAACTTCCATTGGACCCGTCTCACAACCTTCAGGAACTATTCAGTGTGATCCAACACCAGATCAACCGGCAGACACACCTGTTATGAAAATTTCATCGCCCATTCCCATGAAACTCTCTCCACCAAGTTCAGTGGATCGCGGTGTAATTGAGATCTCGGATGAAGAAACCTGAAGATTCTTGGCAGAAATTTAACGAGCCAAATTCATATTTGTACTGTATTCTTCTCTGTACATGCTGCATGATAAATTTTCTGCGAATCTACAACCACTTGTTTTCACCGTCGCACCACTGCTTTGCATGTTTGTTGCTCGCGTTGGTACCGAGTGATCGGGGCGCGACAATTCAGCGAACGAATTTTTTTTTTACAGAGAAAGGGGCATCATTACAATATCAAGCGAGGCTGTACTTTGGTGAGTGCACTTTTCTGGGACGGGTTCACTTGCTGCTGGATTCGTCTCGATCCGCCCGGTTCGTGTTTCGCGGTCCACCTTCACATTAGGATAACAACAAAATCGACCTCTCTGATACGACTGACTGCTTGGGTCTATAGTCATTTTACCTACTGTGTTTTGGGTTTAATGTTGCTATGGGACTCCTGCTCCCGGTCAGCTGGTATCCCTGGATTCCTCCCATTTGTCATTGCGAGGATCGTCTTATAACTCGCCAAAAAATCACTAACTTGACTAGTTCCCGTCAAAAAGTTCGAGTCCTGACTACTTCCAACAAAAAATACCATTTAATCTTTTAGGTTTGCTGGCTATTGCGACGGTTTTTCTAAAGAGCTTGAAAATTTCTATGTCTGATACCTTCCACGTAATATTTCCACCTTATATACCAGAGTGTATGGCGGTTAGGAGTGACGATAATTGTGCTAGTATTGCTTTTTCAAGGTGCACTCTTGTACTGGCAGTTTGCACGATGAACTTTTGCGGGCCTATTTTCAACGCTCGGCCGATCAAATTTCTATGGTTAAAAATATCCGCCGCCGTTAACCGATTCGGTGCACTTATTTGAAAAACGGGTTTATTCAACTGTGCACTTATGCCAGTCATTCTAACAATCGCTCCACATCTTTTGCTACCGTGCACAGTGGCTGTGACACTGTCACTTAGCATCAACTTGACTCAGTAATTCCCGTTCAAACACATGCGGATGGAACTCTCCTTAAGATCAGTCGTTTCTTTTGGCCAGCTAAACTACGGAACACTTTCAAAGCGCAGTTTTCCCAACTTGCGGTTTGTCATCCAATACTGAACCATATGTTCGGTGGCGTCACAAACTGACGAGTCTCTTCACACTGTTTAAGTGAGGATGCCGGCACGCCAAAGTCAGAAGTGACCTTGGTCTTCTGTCGTAATCGTTCAATTTGTCGTTGCAAGTGATGAACAGGTGCATGGTTTCGTCTGGTCCTAGACGGTCTGTCTTCTTCCGTGCTGACCCACAAACCGGACTAAGAGCGAAGGATTGTTGAACGTCTCTTGACAGCCTGGTAGCAATGGAACATCAGGAAAATGTATAAATCTGAATAATAAGTAGCTGGACCTATAGTGTATCATCCTGAAGGTCAATATGGGTTTCTCAGTTTCACTGCGTTATTCAGATTGGTACGGATCCGAAACCAGTAGAGTTCTGTTCAGATGGTCATACTTCAATGGGATAAGTCGGTAGTAGTGAAACCCGTTACCGTTACCTCGTATGCTGTTTGTAACCACCCATCGGTCCTCTTATATGGCAATCTTCGCATAACTTCTCGTTGATGTCCAATTTGTTTCCGAAATGCATCAAGCGATATGGAAGCGGGGACGATTCGGTCAATTTGAGGGCGTTGTGAGGCGTCATTTTTCTGCGGGAAACCAGACAAAAGGATGGCAGCAATGTACGGTTAGCAAATACCTATACTTAACTAACTAACTACCCAACTTAACTAACCTAACTCAACACATGCGCCAGAAACACGGTACACAGGTTACCGGGTGACGGAAAAATCTGCGACAGTGATTAGTTTGTTAGAAATGAACACAAAATCAGGGACATAAAGAAAAGACAGAAGGGAGTATGTACAGACAGCGCCTGACAAGCTCAGCTGCATACTTCAAAATGTGCGCGAGCTTAGTCATAGTCAGATAAACGAACGCGAAACCAAAGTTCCATGTGGTGAGGAATGTGATCACATGACCAGCGGTCAAGTATTCGTAGACTGCAATCCTCGGCGTCTAAATTCGACTCTGAGTCGGGCTAGTGACTTCGTCCCTTTGTAACGCAACTGTTACTTGTCAAAGATTTGCGGGCATGCTCTAGTGGGTTGTATTGCGTCCCTTTGATTTCTTCCGATGAATTTGCTTCTTTTCATTACAGCCAATTTCACCTCTTCGTTTCGGATGTTGATGGGAGGACAGAGTCATTTTCATGCTTCAAACTAGTTTACGTGGTTGACGCAACGGCCAGTGGTCGGATGTTCATATTTTTCTGTGAATTTTGTCATTATGTGCACGTGACTCCCTTCGAGATTGCAGTTCGTTTGAGTGGCCTACTGATCAGTACCGTTTTCATTGTGCTGCATGACGAGCAGATCTCTCTTACCGGTGAATTCAACCGGGCGCATTCGTTGTGGGCCATCTTTCTCCCATTATGGTCCACTGATGTCATCTGCTCTTATTTCAATCTGTTGATTTTTTCCAGGCGGATATTATTCCACAAGGTGAGCAACTTTTTTTTTCTGGTCTGTGGGAGCGATTTGTTTGCTGAAAGCTTCACTCCATTGCTCTCAGCGTAATAGTTGGACTTCGTCGAGATCCATTGCAGGCTAAGTATCCTAGTAGATCTGTGTAGCTTGTTTATTGTCTCCAAAGTTGTGTCGAACTCGGCACTCTCAAATCACTACGAACGGTACGTGATAGTTCAGTTGCTCGCATTTGACTGAATTCAACTTGACAACCTGAACCAAGAACATGTAGCAGTTCTAGTTACTGCAACTTGCGACAGCGGCTGCATAAAACAAACGCAAACAAAAGTGGCCTAGCGACTAAGAATAATAAAATAGATACAACAACGCAACAGGTTGTGTGATATCGCCACGATGATGGGGCCTCCAAATATCCATACTTCAAACTCGTGAACCACACGTACCAATGTAGTTAGGACTGCTATGTTTTTCATGTCAGCCTTCTGGTGTATCCCTGTAGGAAAGCGCTCCGGTTAACGGCCCAGCAGGACAATCGATCACCTGGCATATGAAGCACATGGACGAGCCGGCATAGTACAGTCCATCATGTGAACGGACAGCTGATTTGTTGCCAAAGACCATCCGTCGCCCTTTAGCATTCCTAATCCGATGTTCATAAACTTGCGATGCTTCGAATGCACTGATGGTTGAAAGCAAGCAGTCTTCCTTCATCTTCAACACAGTTTTCAGGCTTCACGGTCATAAGGACGCACTGCCGCACTGCAAACCCAGTCTTTTACGGGCAATCCAATAGCATACTACTTAAAGTAAACGAAAGCAGCGACTCCAGTACTCACTTCATTAGCAGTGCTGTTATCTGATGCCATGACCACTTTGGTGATCCACTCGACTAATCTTATAATGATACTTTATACATTTAGCGCAGCTTGGGCACGGATGTATTCTAAGCGAAGTGGTGTGGTACAACTGCACACTCCAGGTCTTTAGGGTCGTTCTCGGGGAGAAGTTCCACTCCAGCGTCAGTGAACACAAATAATTTGAATACGAAGTTGATAGAAATGCAGCTCAGATGAACCCCACTTGGTCACAAACGTAGAGGATTACACACTCAGTTGCAGTATATTGATCATAGAAGTGTGGTGAAGGTGTCCGGAACACCATTCCCGGACAGTGGGCCACAAAACTGCGCTATTGACTGGGTCGAACACTGCCTGTGTACGTGGGATAGTGCTTTGAAAATCGCAGGATGAAGCTATGGTCAATGCATCCATGACCTGGGCGGATTCCTCTCAGTAACCAAGAGGCATTGGTGACTCGACCGATACCTGGGTGATTCTCACATGGTAAGCTAATACGTTTTTTGAGAGATAGTCACTTCGGCACCTGCAAATTCTGCGCATTACTTTTGTCAGGTTGGAGGAACCCATCCCCTCTGACCTTAAACGAGGAAGTAGTCTCAAGTCCATCTGGTCCTATGTACAGTATTTCTCAACCATACATTTAGCTTGTTAGTATGAATTCCAGCTATTTAGTGATGAGCTCTTGGTTGACCTAGAGATTCTGGTTCACAGATTTTTGTTGGCTACGCCACAAGAACACAGTCACAGCAGAGGAAAAATTATGTTTCACAAGTATTTTGTTGGAGGGACATTAGAATAACATCTCCGACATCGTGTCTCTTCAGCGGCCTCGCTGGATTTCAGGCGATAACTGCTCATTGTCATCTCAGGAATGAACCACTTATTTTTGAACATCTCCTATATTTGACACCTTTTTAAAGCAATATACCCCAGTCATATAGCGATAGATAAAGCGCGAGTAGGCTTTTTGACTGATGGATAGACCAAAGAAATCGCTCGCCACCATACATCATGCCCACTTATCTAGTACATTTTATGTGACCGATCCGATTGCATCAGTCCTGCCCGATCGATTGACTATGCGCCCGCCGCCATCACAAGCAAGTGACAATCACAATCAGATACTTACAAACATGTTCATTATTTGTTTGTGACTAACAGCATCATAGCAGCAGTCAGCTTCGGCTATTTTACGACATACTTGGACCGATTGCCTTGACTATGATTAGCTGTAAGGTTGCCTTGTTGGTTTGACTGAGCAAAATAGATCGCTACGACTTACGCGTGCAATGAACTGAAGTCAATAGGTGAGGCATGATCATTTATACCTGGTTTCTTTTCTTTCCACAGAAGCTCGAAGTGTGGCTCAGTCAGAATGGCCTCTCACTCCCTCGCCCCTATCGTCCACCTTGGTTTCGGTTCATTAAAGATTTACTCTATGCATTGTTGTGTAGCTTCTCTTTGTTCATGTTTAAACTACTGCTGTATCAGAAATTAGTTCAGTCGGACTCCAGACTAACGTATAATTGGGTCTTCTTACCGCTGATCTGTCTCATGCCTCTAGTCCTTTGGGCCATTCTTGTCCAAGTGTGTACGTCTTGTTGCCTTTAATGAGATCCCCCATCAAGATTACTATCTAGATCTTCGCTATTTTTATTTTATTGTAATTATACTCCTAGATTATCAAACTGTTATCTCCTGGGTCTCGCCACTGTTCCCCCACGAATTTGGTTGTCAATTTTTGAATTTCACGTTCGCCAATGTATGGTGCATGCAGGTCCCTTTATTACTGTCAGGACTGAAATTGTTGCCCGTTTACCTCAAACATACCATATTCAGGTGAACCTTCAGATCCCGGTTTATCGTTCTCTCTTTTAAACCAGTTGTCCCAGAAATTCCTAGATTAGGCTTGCCTTAGTAAGCTGCCCAATATCCACCCACTTATTTTTCACCGAACCTGATATCGCTCATCGTATTCAGAAAACGTCTTGTGAACACATTACTTCCATAGTGATGAAGGCTTACTTCAGTCAACTTGGTTAGTGACCATGGAGTACGGTCAGCAGTTAGCTTCACTTGGTTGCTTCACATGGCTGACGCATAATGCAACAGTGGCGTTCACGCCTCATCTAGACCTGAAAAACCGCATACCCTAATGAAAAGTAAAAAGGAGTGAAGGTTTAGTTTATCCTCCAAAGGACAGGTTGTGTGAAGAGTGCTAACGCCTCCAAACGGCATTAAAATATAAAATAGCATAGAAAGGTGACAACCTAATCATACGGTTTCATCAAACGCGATGTGAAACGTGCGTAGAAGTGAAAATCGCCTATCTATACAGAGTAAGTGTTACCTGATTGTCACGCACGTCTGGGTACAGCCGTAGCTTTCAGTTGGCAATTAAAACCGCGAGCTTTGATGTTAACCGTCGATTACGTCGAATTGTAGTATAGGATGTTGAGTTCACATCAACCGAAGACTAGTTTCAGTGACGACGGAATCCAACCAGTTGCCCAATGACCTTGCTCATTAGCGTTGTTGTAAATTCAGGCGAACGTCTGTTGCCCTGATGCGCTTATGAACTTTTGATCAGGTGGCTCTTTTCCTGTTCGCCAATCCACGCAAGCTAATTGCCGGGCTCCGCCAACAGGTAAAAACCGAACATTATGTTATGGTAACCGTGCACTGATGATTGGCACCGAAACGTCTGCAAGCAGATTGGCGAACTCGGAGAACAGATCAACAGCCACCTGATCCAGAAGCAACTGGATATCTCCCGTGCACCCTATTTACCTTCATCAAGCAGGTCAAGTGAACTTTTGTCGTATATCCGTATCAATTTCTTACTCTACTAAGTCGTTTTAACCTCGTTTAATGCAAGTAGATGCCTTTTGTTAAGTCTTCGATTCATGATAGGAGAATACAATACCACTCCGAAGGGGGAAGCCATATAGGATATACAGGAGGTTATGTTGACTTAGCATGGTTATGGGGATCTAGGACGCCCATGGCAGGAACATTCATTTCCTCACATTTTTCCAGGAGAATGCGGCGGAATTAAGAAGTGGACGGGAATACACCGTTCTCATAGCCAATTTGGAAGCTCGAGCTAGAACCCCATGAAGAAGGATACACATTTATATATGGACATTATTGGATAATTTACTACCTTTTGTACACCAAAACCAAACCTTACTACAGAACGATAATCTGCTCCGTCACACTGAGCCGATCTGACAAATAGGTCGGATTTCAACTGCTTGACCCTCCCTGGAGTTAAGCGACAAAAAAATGATCGGACGCACGAGTTGTAAGCACAACATGGTACTCCGGACACTAACGACTACGCACTGCCATCCAGCAATTTGAAGCAAGTCTACACTGCATAACGCAGATACAAAACGGAGACCATAGGACCACGGAACAGTCGGGAAATAGAATCAGTCGGTTGCGCAAGAAGAGGTTAATTCGGTACCAGATCCCTAATGTCACACAAATTAAGCGCAATAATGTCCCGATCTCTTATTCACGCAGAACCCCTGACAACGAGGTTGGTGTTCATCCTTAAGTACGGTCTGTTTACGGTCATTTACCGGTTACGGCGTTTTTCATTAATTGTGCGTCAGAAATTTTTTAGGCTAGGTAAGTGTTTGTCAGACAGGTATCTACGTACTTGGGTTCTTAGGGATGGAACGGAGCTGCATGTCTCCACGGACTTACTGTAAGTTGCGGTTGGACAGATTACCATATGATGTTGCCGTATCACGAGTCAGAGCCTTGAACCAGATAGGCTGATTTGAACCCCTTGAGCTAACCCACTAGCTTTGCATGGGCAAGTGGGTAGTATCTTAGCGCTTATCTTCATACTTGGTCGTATTCTGCTGCTACCATAAAACGCAACCGGTCCTTCTCTGCACATAACCCACTTCTCCCAAACTTTGTCCACCGAGCATTCCGTTTCGCTCTGGATTCATTTCATCCCGGCATGCGGTCGAACCCCTTGGTCCTGCGACTCATTCACGCCCATCAACGCTGAAAAACATTCCAGACTAGATCTTCCTTTCTGGAGTCTTACTAAATCTAATTCGAACGCCTATTCATATAAACCACCGGAATGGTTGAGCACGATACTTTGACGTATTTTGCCGCTCAGATGCACGCTTACATGACGATGGCAATCAATTGCCTGATTTCTCCGCGCATCCCTACTTCTGGGTTTTCCCGGAGACCTAACTGCGGCAGGTCTAATGCGTTCCTCTTGCTTTGAACAAAACGGTCATGGCTGGATTCCAATAGACAGTAAGCCATTCACTGGGCATGTAAAACAGGGGGACGCGACCCGAAAATCCAGCATTTTCTTAGAACTGACAGACGTTTGATGTGATACGTTTGTGTTTACGCGTTGATGATGCTTATTAATGAAGTGACTTTGATTTCCGCAAACCACCTGATCAATACCAAGATAACCAAATCGTTTGCTTCAACTGTCTTCTTGCGCCTATTCGGAACTGGTTTGATTTGATCAGCAACGCCTTGCCTAATGCTAAAAACCTGGCGTTGCGCAACAAGAATGAATGAGTTGACTGGATCAACCCAGTGACCGGTATTTAACTGTCCGGCTATTGACCATGCAGGATTTCTATTAGGACAGTGCTTGGCTTACCTAGAGACCGCTGTTTCAATTCACCACTGGTAAAGCCATGTTCGGTATTCGTCGTTACGACGTCTACTGTGCCGTGGACCACTCGCAAGTGTTCGATCCAAACAGAATAAATGAAGGGACAGGCAACCGACGGCGTGGTCGACGTCTGACTTAGAAGTAGAGCTGTCTGGGTTTCCTACCTGGGGACGGAAAACTCAGAAACGATGCGGCTAGAGACGATAACGGATGCGGAGCAGTGTCACAGTGACCCCGGCTTCGTACTTGCCGGTTGCCGAACACTCATATAATGCCAGAGTTCAAACGCGTGCAGCAAACTCTGATCCCTTAAAATTTGGCTTAGAATTGATGTCGTTTGTAGACCAACTCTCAACGGAGGTTATTCTAAAGGTCGCTGACGAGCGATTTCCCTTCATAACAAAGACGGATCCAAAACTTCTTTCGACTTGCTATGTTAAGGTGACAGGTGGGCGGTTAACCGACAGGAATACACACAAGTTTGTTCCCAAAGTGGTTGAGGTTCAACGCGTAATTTTCAGCCACGTGTCTGCAATATCACGGTAATCCCCGGGAAATGTAAGCGCCCCCCGATAGAGTTCCCTCTTCTGAGGAGGGCGCAGCAGCATTCCTCCACAACTAAGTAGGTAAACCAGAGTCAAGTTGGCTACTTTAATGGAAAGCAGGAACCTGGTAATACATACTTGCAAAGAGCCAGTGGCGCTCATACTGTCACCTATCCAAATTGACTGCAGCTGGAGGTGTAATCGCCCCGAGAATTTGTGGTAGGCCAGTCCTAATTCCACTCTCTGCTCCACTTTTCCCCAACTAAAGAGCATTATTCAAAAGGATTGACTAGGGTGAAGCACCGGTGTTCTTCGCTGATGTTATTGCCGATGATGAGGATACAATGAAAAGTCGAACGTTACAGGACAGGCTCAGAAAAGTTCGGTATATAATGTATTCGTTCCATTCGTAGAGGAACTTCTGGATTTTTGTATAAGCCAGTAACAAACTTTCCAGCTCACCGCTTCGTGCATACTGTACGTCAGCGTCATCCCTCATTCTGAACGGAACATATGAAGAGAGTCAGGACCGTCGAAAAGTCAGGTGTAAACTGCTACATATTTATACTCCAAAAATGAGCTATACTGGACGGACGTAACACGCTACTCATATAGTTGCTGAAACCTCTTCGGTATTTATATTATTCAGTTGGGTCACAATATTAATGCACTAATTTTGGTGATTTATCTTTGATACGTTTTTTGTTGTTTGTCCGTACGATCGATAGAGGACGTTCCCCTCCCTCAAGAGCTACTTTCGCCACCCAACTGAGACCATTTTGGTCGTTTCCATCGAATAGTCCTTATTTCGAAAGGCTACTATTCACGTACGGATATACTTACCAACGAATGAAGTCATAGCCTTAATGTAAAAGATCCACTGCTGGTGTTCACTACCGTACCATTATGCTTTCGGCAAGTCCCTGTACATCCATTGACCGATCTGATCTTCCCGGGTTCATTTTCAATTTAGCGGCTTGAATATATTCACCACATTCGGCTGCGCACCAAACGCTTTTATGGTACGGAGAAGTCAAAAGCGAAAGCTCTTGTGTGTGTTAGACAAGTATGTTTTTATCAGTGAATCGCAATTGATAAACATCAACGGATGACATTAGATAAAGCACGTCCCGGTGCCAGCAATGCACTACGAGTGTGTTACTAGGCCAAGAAACATCAGTATTCACAACCACATTTGAAGGGCACAAAGGGAACAGATGAGAATCACCCAGCAGCTTCACTGACCTTCGGGCATATGAAAGAACGTATGGTGTACATGAACTTAAGTGACCAAATCAAACGATGACCACAGTCAGCTAAAGGCGCAGTTTACGATGAAATTTCACTCGGTATACTGGAAGATGACTCGAGCTTTGTTTTTACAATATGCCGTTTAGAATTCTGGCATATTCCGCCCGTTGGCGGCAAAACCACAGCCAACTGGACGAACAAGGTGAATGGGTAAACGTGGACTATTATCAGCTGGAGGCCAGGCAGAATAGAATGGAGTGGTGCTGGATGGCATGCCCGGACCTGCAGCCAGCTGGAGCGGCATCGAGTTGTGCTGCGAACCGACAGGTAGCCTCGAGGTAGTGATTGGATTCGGCATTGGATGAATCAACGGTTGTCGAATAACCAACGGTTTGTGATCAGAACGTTGATCAGGCTTGTTAGGCGGAGCGCATGATTCTGCTTTCGTTGACGGGTGAGGCATCTGCAAAAGTGGTGACACGCTGGGTGTCAGCCGGGCAGGATGGGCGACACCAGCTTCGGTGCCATCGGAAAGTAGCATCCGCACGGGAGTTGAAACAGAGGCCGAACGTCCGCACAAATCAGATTCTAACTTGCGACGAAAACTGGCTAGGGTTGCCTCTTGGTGCTGAATTCGGCGAGTAACAATACTGAGGCGGTTCAACTGATGTCTTAGGGCCTGTAGAAAGTAAATAAGAGAAGAACAAACGATATAAAACATTACATGTGGAAGACTCGTGAAACAAAACAATTTCGGGGTAATCGCGTCTATGGACTGAGGCAGAATAGAATGGAGTGGTGCTGGATGGCATGCCCGGACCTGCAGCCAGCTGGAGCGGCATCGAGTTGTGCTGCGAACCGACAGGTAGCCTCGAGGTAGTGATTGGATTCGGCATTGGATGAATCAACGGTTGTCGAATAACCAACGGTTTGTGATCAGAACGTTGATCAGGCTTGTTAGGCGGAGCGCATGATTCTGCTTTCGTTGACGGGTGAGGCATCTGCAAAAGTGGTGACACGCTGGGTGTCAGCCGGGCAGGATGGGCGACACCAGCTTCGGTGCCATCGGAAAGTAGCATCCGCACGGGAGTTGAAACAGAGGCCGAACGTCCGCACAAATCAGATTCTAACTTGCGACGAAAACTGGCTAGGGTTGCCTCTTGGTGCTGAATTCGGCGAGTAACAATACTGAGGCGGTTCAACTGATGTCTTAGGGCCTGTAGAAAGTAAATAAGAGAAGAACAAACGATATAAAACATTACATGTGGAAGACTCGTGAAACAAAACAATTTCGGGGTAATCGCGTGAACCTATGGACTGCGACTGCGTCCAATCACCCATTAAATCCCATTGCAGTGATCCCCAACCTTTCTTGTATCCCGACCTATTTCTGTAACACGAGTGCCCAACGGTCCGACACCCCGTTAGTTCGCCGTTCTATGGAATTCGCTATTAGGGTTCTGATTCACTTGATGAAAACGTAGGCAAACGTCTGTTGGATGTTGGCCCTACTTATCTCACCACTCAGTGGTTGCACCCACCTTGGTAACACTTCAAAATGCGCAGCAAGTCGATTGCCAACTA